GCCCCAGCAAGATAACGCTCTTGTTCTTCACCGTCTTCAAAATGCAGGCTATTGCCACCCTTAGCAAGTTTTGAATGAACATATATATATATAATTTTATATAATATGATAGGATTGTTTGTCCAAAAACACTTGCTGCATCAAGGCCCCGGCAGAAATCCTGAATCTGTCAAGAGATCCATATAGTTGGTTGATGAGCCATGGTAGTACAACAAATCCAGTTTGGCTCCCATTTGCCCAGAGCCTCGAGCAGCCGCTGTGGCTGCTCCTCGACCGGCAAAGAACTCAACCCAGGTATAGACCTGCAGGCAGCACCAAACCAAAGCCACTGCTGAATTAACTGCTTGGAGTCCGCACGCGCATATATATATATATATATGGACAAATCAATGTTGTGGCAAATCAGTAAGTACTCAGCCTCTTCAATTCTGCCGCTTGATGACCAGGCCGTTAAGCAAACCGCGAGAATAAAATCCTAAGGCGGAAGACTAGTGCTTTGATATACTGGAAAGCTTCACTCATGCAGTCCATCTTTAAAGCCAACTTGGAACATCTCAGGCTTTGTCACTCGGTGCATCCAAAGCTATCAAACCAGCCACGATGTGCGGAAGGAAAAGCATCGTGATGTGGCTAACTTGATACCCAACAGGGCTTGAGAAACACTGCTCTTGACAGAAGACATGTTTGATGCGTGCAACTCCAACAAAACAGGAACACATCGCAACTCAACGTTATAAGCTTGCCAGGATGACGGTCACCATCCTTCAACAGGCCCCTCTTAGAGGCCCAAGTGTTCCTCTTCAGCTTGTGCATCCCATGAGACCTCATGTAAAGGATAACCAAGACCCAAGCTATTCTGAACTACTGTTTGGCGTGCAAAGTGCAACAAAGTCATTGAAATATATTAAAGGTGACTCACCTTTCTCTCCTTACCCCATCCTCTAAGGTCAGCTGCAGGTAGGCCAGAGTGGTACACCCTGCTGAACCGTCAGCTTTCACTCGGCACCCCAACAGCCTCCCCTGTGGGAGAACAAATGGCAACATTGATGTTCCTACCTTCTGGATCTTCGACCGCATCTGGCCAACAAACATATATATATATATAGACTGAACATTTTCAAGCTGGTGTTTCTCTATAAGTTTAAAAGGTATTGATTGCATCAATGAAATGGGGTCCATCAGCCAGCTAAGCAGGTCGGTCCCGAAGAGCCAACGTCGAACAAGTCAAAAGGTCAAGCCTGTAGAGCTTGCTTCAAACCTACTGATCATCCTGCACACCGAAAATCTCAGGGTGCTTGCACTTGAAGGAAGCAATTGCCATGTGCCCTGCCCGAATGAGAATTTGCTCCTTCTCCGCAACCTGAGGATTGGAAGGGAAACGGTCCTTGGGAGGCAGCACGTCGTACCAGGAGGCCTAAGAGGCAGTGTGACATACTGAAGAGTGAAAAGAAATGCTATGAACTTCAAACCCAAGCTCCCAACAAACTTCTCTGCCAAGAGCTTTGCCAGACCAATGTTGAAGGCATCAGAACGGCTGAATGAGAAGTAGGCAAACTCCTCCTCCTTGCCTTTGGTCACAGATCTGTTTTTGATCCCAACCGTTGGTCGTGCTCGGCTCCAGTACGAGTTGAGCCGGCAGTGTGTGTACACGGGAGAATTCGGGAAATCCTCACTCTTCAGGACAGGCTTCTTGGATCTCCATTGCTTCTCAAGTTCCTCGCGACACTCCTGCACAATGGCATCATCTGCTGCAAGTTGCTGATCAACAGGTGCAACCTTAGGCTTTCGTCCTTTCCTCTTTGGCTCTCCCTTTGCCTTGGCCTTTGGCTTCGGTGAGGCCTTTGGCTTGGGCAAGGCCTTTGCCTTCCCTTTTGCCTTGGCTTTTGGTGCACGTTTGGCCCGTTTGGGCTTCTCCGTCTCCACTGGCTTCACTGGCTCATGAGGCTTTGGCGAGGAAGATGAACACCCAGGAGCCTGAGCCGGCTCTTCTTCTTGGCTAGTGCAACGAGTCCTTTTCCTTCCCTTCCCACTTCTGGCTGCCTCCGCAGCACTTGAGTTGGCTTCTTCCTTTGCCTGACTTGCTTCCCTTGCCCTGCCCTTCTTCATCTTTTGCTCTGCATCACCGGGATTGCCATCAGTCTCAACCTCCTTTGCATTCCTTTTCCTTGAGGCTCTCTTCTTCGAAGATGCCTTTGCTTTGGCTCTGGCTTTGCCAGCAGAAGTCCGACGGGTAGACCTTCCTCTCTCAGTTTTCTTCTTCGCATCGTTTGAGCCCTCCTCAGCGTCATCTGCGCGCTTGCCCTCGATTTTCTCATCCTTCTTGTTCTTCTTTCTGAGCTTCAGCTGCTCCGTGCGCAGTATGCACGGTAACTTCACATCATGAGCCTGATAGGCCTGCACTCTGGCAGCAAGACCTGGCGGAATTGTCATCTGGCCTTTGGCTGGCATTTCCGGGTTTTCTTCCGGGAACAGCTGCCTCCGTGCAGGACTGGGGTCCTGTGGCGGTTCGTCCTTAGGAACTTCATCAGGCTTGAATGCGGGAACTTCCTCCTCTTCAGGTGGAACATCATGAGGCTTTTCTGCTTGAACTTCCTCCTCTTCAGGTTGAGCCTCTTCCAAACCATCCTTTGGATCATCCCCTGGAGCGGGATCGTAAAAGAGGGTGCGATTGTCCTCCTCCACCTCCGTGCCATTCGCTCTGAGATGCTCACAACGTGCAAGAACTCTTTGAAGGTCCCGCTCTTCTTTCTCCTGTACCCTCCAGTAGCTTTCAAAGGAGGAGCACTCAGCACAGGGGCTACCCTCCCTGCATCCACAGTCCTTGACCTCCTCTGGCCCTTCCTTCCAAACCGGAGTCATTTGACTCTTCCCTTCTGGAGGCTCTTCCAAGCCACCACCTTTGCCACCACATGGGTATTCTTGCTGATTGGTTTCAGCACGTCCACCTTCCAGAAGTGAAGGGCCGGCATTGCTCATGGCCTCCGGCATGGGGAGGGTCTCTGCAGCGTCATGACCATAAGGTGGAGCATTCTCACCTGGCAAATAACTTTGAACTTGTATACACTGCATATATACACTCATCACCCAAACAAGTTATAGAAACCCTGCCTGAGGGATGATCAGAGAGTTGGTTCTTCTTTTGGCTTTTGATCCTGATGGCCAGTAAAATACGGAGGTTGAAGGAGCATCAGGGTTCCAATGAGGTTAGGACAGATCCAGCTGAGCCATTGCTTCCCGGAGCTGAGAGAGCATGGCATCCTTCGGGTTCCATAAAGATTGATCAACATTTTGTCAATTGGATTCGTGAAAAAAAAAAGAAGACAATCTGCCTCCTGAGATGGAAGGGCTTCCTGCCCACCTGCCAGTTTACACTATATAGTCACTATAGGATTGTCGATGCACAAAATGTGTGCATGTCCACAATTAGACTTTGGCCTTGCGGTTCGTCATCCGATAAGATGTCAATGGTTTCCTCAACGGCCTCAACAACTTGTGATTGTGAAGCCACGCTTGCACCAAATTATATACCGTATATATCAGAACAATCGGGCCAAGGTCCCAGCACCTGTAGTATGAGCCTTCTCCACCAAATTCTGAGACGTGTCACCTGAGGTGCTGGAAACAGGGACTGAACCCTCAACGGCTGACTCTGGCAAGTCCTCCGCTGGAGCAACTGGAGCCTCCTCGTTTCCCTCGACCTCACAAGACTCTTCCTGAACTTTTGGTTCTTCCTCCTCACTTTCCTCCACGTCTTCACTGGTGGGACCCTCCACGTCCTGGCACCCAAGAACTTGTGAAGAAAACTATATAGATGTCTCAAATCAAACAAGCCTCTTCTTGAGTGGAGATCGGGTTGGCTGTGATCACAGCCTAAGAGACACTTGGGTTGAGGCAAACATAGCATATATAGGGAAAAGATGCCCACCTGCAGGCTACCATCCAAATCCAAAATGAGGAGCAAGTCCCTGAAGTCCTGAACCTGTCAACTCACCAGCAATTTATATTCTATAATATATATATATATCCTTCAAAAGGGCCGGACATACACAAATTGAAGTGCATAGCGTAGATCCAGGCCTTAGAGACTTCCTTTCGCCTGTACTTCCTCTTGAGTAGGCCACATCCATGAGGGATTCCCCAAGCCTCCCTGTAGATTTGGTCCTGCCCTATGACCATGTTCAAAAGATTGTACAACTGCTTCAGCGCATCTTTCAACGGCTCAATATCAGGCATGGGAAATGAATCCCCTTGACTAGCCATCCACTTAAGCACTGGAGCGAACACACCCTTGTGAGCTGCGCACGTGGCCACCGTGGCGTGAAACACAGGGCTGCCTCCACAATCTAGCACCTGTCCACAAGACCTCACTTGGGACCTGAACTCATCATTAGCTTCCCACTCAGGAGCCAAACACGAAAGGTCTCTCCGGTCTCTGCGTCCCATGGCCAAACAAGAACACGGTCAAAGAGAACAAAAGAGGATAAGTCCCCAAAACAGAACCAAAGTGGCTCGCGGGTCACACAAAATGGCCACAAACACCCAAACATGAAACCGCACACTCAAACTGCGCAACGTTCAGCTGAGTACCTGACTGATGGACAGCATTGGATGCCAAATGGATCCAGTATGATATCAAATGGCTTCAAGATATCATGAAGGATATGAAGGGCAGCATGGGGCACGTTCTGAACATCCAATGCATGTGATTAACAACTTTGTGCCAACATTCTGAAAAGTCAGGTTTTTCATTAAACTTCTTCTGAAAGCCTGGCTTTCATATTGCAACCCAAGAAAAAGCAGGTTGGATGGTTAGGGGGTATGTTTTCCATTTACTCCACCAGGAAAGATTCTATGCAGATAATATGTCTCCTTGATATCTACTAAGAGTCCTCATCCTGCTCCAGCACTGATCTTCTTCCGTCGACAGGTCGACAGCTGCTCGTTGCACCTGTTCGACCGGTCGACAGCGAGCCCCAGTCCGGTCCGGTTCACTTCTCCAGGCCCAAAGAGTTCACAACCTCTCAGCGGGCGACATGCCCAAAGTGGAGGCCGGTTTTGGAGTCGGGTGAAGTCCGAAATCGGCCCTGGGGGGGGGGTTCTTCTTTCGGTCGTGAATGAAAGAAGAAGAACAGATATTGTTGGAAGATGTTTTTTTCCAGATGAGGAAGATATGACGGGATACATGGATTTGTGTGCCCAACGCTGGGAAGGGTTATGGACAAAGCTTTTGGGGATCGAAAACAGATGATGTCAGAGTTGATTTCCACAAGGTTGTCCACCCACCTGTCCACTCACCGACACTTGAGACTATCCTGCGAGACGGCTTGGGAGCTACGGCTTCGGAGCGGCGAGCGCTGGGTGGCTATGAGCAGTTCTTCCCAAACAGCGAGCAGTTCCTGAAACCCGTTGCTATAGCACGTGCCACCTAAAGCACAGAATCCGGTCGTTCATTGGAGCAGAACTGCTTTTTGTTGCTGCGGTGGTGTGCATCTTTTTGTAAAACTGCATGTTGGATATGTGTGTGTGTTTTTTCTGGACTGGAATAGTAGTAGTCATTGGGCAGAGCTCAATTCCGCCTTCGAAACATTTTCCACTTGGACGCTGCAGTCTACTCTGGAACACCGAGCTCTGCAGTGAATCCTCTCAAAAACGCTGCGGCGTCTCCACCGCGGCGTCCGCGGCGTTCGCTCCGCGCGTCCGCTCCGCGCGTCCGCAACCGTGGACCGACCGGTGGACAGACGGATGCATGGCGAATCCGACGGGATGGGCATCCGCCGATCGCAGGTGCTTCGGAAGAAACTGATGGACTTCGAAGGTGCCGGGCACAGAGCGATGTCCGAGACGGGACACGGAGCGATGTCGGGGCGACGAGCGGAGACCGTTCGGTTGGTCGGGGCGTAACGCCCAGCCATGCCATGGGCAGATAGACTCTCTCCGGTCCTCGGATCGTTCTCAAAAAACCACAGCGTTCCAAGATGTTCAAAGATTGAAGATCGGAGTCTGAAGGTTCTGCTTGTTGGTTCTTCATATTTCTTCAAGCCTCATGTGGGTGTTTCTCCTGGAGCTGGGTCTCATCTGAAACGGTTTGATCTGGTTCTGCCCTGTGTGAAGATTAGCGTTTAAAATCGACTGTGCCGTTCGACCAGCGTTCTTGGGCGGAAAAACACCGGCCGCCCAGTGGTTCTGCCGGCCGCCCATGTGTGTGTTTTGCAGATGCATTGTCTTCGGAGGAATGGGATGGGCAGTGATTCATTGATCAATTGGTATTGGCCAAGTACTTAGGACCAGCAACTTCATAGGTATAGTTCACGGATTGAAATACCCCAAAGCCAGATAGATAGGTGCTTTCTTTTCAGGCTCCTCACACCACGAAATCACTGGCCGGCTCCGGAGCTCCGCAGCCAATTGACCACCTCAGCCAGGCCTTCTGCGGCTGCCCACGTTGGACGTGGCAGAGATACGGCGGTTGGATGCTGTGCTGGAGAAGGAGGTGCCACAGGGGTGGCCCACGTCGTCCATCCGAATTCCGATCCGTACCGAACCGAAGGTGAGGAGACACTGTTATGTAGGTTTGGAATGGTTTGGAGGGTCCAGTCGTATGACTGGATTCCTAGACTTGGTTTTGGAATATGCTCCTCGTGTGGTTCTTTTCGTTTGTGGGCAGGGCCCGCCCCTCTAGGACATCCTCATAGGTGTTCCACAGCGAGTATCGATCTAAGCAACCAAGATACTGGACCATGTTTCAGGTTATATAACTGACTCAGATGACTGGAGCTTGCAGCACCAACCAAGAACAACAAGACAACAGGACGGAGTAGGTGTCCGTGTCCAAAGTCTTTGACATGGGCGAATGGAATGTGAACCTTTTACAAAGACGTGTCCAACTGAGAGCTGCAGATCACCCTGAGTAAAACCGCAAACCGTGAAGTAAACCATAAGCCATGTGGGAAGGCTTACATTGGAGAGGAAGAGTTGGGGTTCTGATCTGTTGTTATCACTTCCCAGGGTCCATGGACCATCCGGATCGGATCTTGGCCCCCAGGCAACGACCATTCGACCTGGTTTCGATCGTACTCGCCTCCTTTCGACCCGAAAACTGCAGAACTATGTCAGAAATCCATCGCTTCCATTGAGGCCTTGTTTGCGGCCGATGATGTTGGTGTTTCCTATATGCAGTGAATTCCCTTCTGGGAAAGATTGCCTTGTCTTTATCTCCACGACTGCACCCCTTTCTCACCAAAGAAGCGCCTAAGCATGGAGCAACTAGCGCCCCATGGGTTTATGGGGCGCTGCATGGGACCTGCCTGGCTCAAGGGAGACCCTCAGGCCACAGCAGACCTCGGGTATGGCCAGAGTTAACAGCACCACGGTGGTCATGGGGTGGTCATGTTGAATAGAACCCGGTGGTCAGGTCGTGTCCGTTCGGGGGGGTTTGGAGCAACACCAACGTTCCGGGGGTGGAGCTGGTTTTCAGGGCACGGCTTGTTTGGGGCTCTGAGTATATAGTATATACCCTGGTTTTTCAAAGTGAGCTGGATATCCTGTTTTGAGGTGACTTGAGCCTGGGAAAGGTCACAAGGTCACAAACTGGGTTGTTGTTTCTGTTTGTGTCCTTGTCTTTTTCGGTTTTTGCCGGTTCTTGGTGCTTAGCTTGTTCCCATGATGTTGTTGATTGTTGTTGCGAGTTCTTTTGGTTGATTTTGTTGTTTTCTTGACCAACCGTCCCCATCCTTGGTGTTCAGGTGCCATCGCTCCTCTCCGGGGTCGGCGGAGTCACCCTGTCGAAGGAGATTGGAATCACCGGATTCGCTGCGGAAACCGGGGCGAAGGGAGCTGTGGATATACTCATGGAGAGCTGTGTTTTGCAGTTATTTGTTGGGCTTTGTTTTATGTGACTGTGACTCTATTTTCCCAAGTGGTTTTTGACCAGATTGGGCTCCAAGAAACAGCCACAAAGTGTTGGAGAACTACTGTAACGTTAGTAAAACATAATGTTTTTGTGTGCATATATGTTTTGCATGTTCGGCTCGTCTTTGGTGGACCCAGTGTTGAGCCATACCGGGTGGACAGTTGAATTTCCTTTTAGGGATGAAAGAAACCAGCAACCCTGGTCACAAATGGATTCCAAGCAGCAGTGCCTGGGAAGGGGGGCCTGTGTTTGGTAAGTCTCCATGTGCAGATGCCAGGGCTGTGGAAATTCTTTTTGGGGGGAAGCAGTTAGAACCTTGGGTGCCAGGACCCAACGTCATGGCCTATATTTGAGTTGGATAGACTGATAGACTCCTTGAAACGTGCACTCGATGCCATGACCTGAGCCTAACATATATTCTGCTGCACGAGCTGGGCACGCATCGTCGAGGTCCAACCTGCAACCGGAAACCGCGGGGAGACGCCGCCCTTGGATGGCAGGAGAGTCTGAAACTGCCAGACCCCGTGCCACTGAGCCCAGAGACAAAAGCAGGAACTTTGGGGGGATGGCTTTCTCCCCAACAACAGCAACATGTGTTGTTTTTGTTTCCCCAGGTGTTTCAAACACCTGGCACATCATAAATATATACAAAGTCGCCTGATTTTAATATGGTGACGTGTAGGCACAGTTTTGAAGGGTCAATGTAGGCAGTGGGTTCTCCAGTCCGGTGGATTGGGAGATGCAAGTGCTGCACACCGGGGCTCCGATCGTGACTCGGGTCAGTCCGATCGTGAGACGTCCGATCGGCCACGTGGGACGCTTAAAGTGTAGGACTGATTTGGAAGGATTCGATTGGTGCGGGTAGGTTGCATGTGCTGATTAGCTTTCAAGCTCTTGAACTAGATGATTCTAGATTCACCTCGATGTTATCCTCGGACACCAATGGCTGCCCCGCTCCTTATATGAGCATCCACTTTTATTTAGTAGTCTACGGCATGCTCTATTTGCGGTATAATTTGTTTGTCCAACAGTATTCGCTGGTGAACAAGATAGGGCCCGCACACAGACGAGATATGTATTTTTGATGAGACTATATAAAGTAGTCTGAACGAGATACTGTGATTTGCTACTAAGTAGTCTGAACGAGATACTGTGACATGACCTCCTACTTCAGTGGTCTAAACATGTCTAAACAAGATATGGCCGCCACATAATACATATAGTGTATTTGAGTTTAGTAATGAATCAATGCCGCCGCTCAGATGCATCTATATCCTGATCATCATCTCATCCTTTGCAAGATTGCCACAGCCGAAAAATCACCTCAAAGAAGTCCGTCCTTGCTCTTCAAATGTCCCCAGATCTCTCCAGATACCTGGCAGATCCAAAAGCCACCGCCCTGCTGCTGGCGCTCTGCTCACCGGTCCACCGCACCGCTCCACCGGCCTCTGAGGCCACGGTCCAGCTTGGCCTCCTTCTTCAGTTTCGGCGCCAAGCGCCGGAGGCCACGGGGGGCACGGCAGGAGCTGGTTTTGGATCTGAGGCCTGCGGAGCGGTAGGCCTTTTTGGGGGGGAAGGTGATATTTGTGGAGCTGTGGTCATGAGGTGGAAGAAGGCTCCAGGCCACGGGGTGTCAAGAAATTTCAACAGATCTATGATGATCTATCCGTCCATGTGGCTACTACGATGCTTTTGGATGGTTTCTGGATGTTTTGGTCGCAGGTCGTTGATCGGTGGTACTGCGTTTTGGTTATAGAAAAACCATTGACCTCGACATATGGCTTGAGGGGGTTCACCCTGATGACGTTGTTGTCGAGTCCTCAACACCAATGGCACTCTCGTGTCCTTCGCTTCGTTCCAAAGACCTATATGACTCTGCTTGGATGAACTGACGAGAAATCTACCACCTCCATAGATCTCGATCCAGGAGAGACCTGCAGGAGCTTTTTTCGGGTTCATTCATTTTTTCGACCGATGGTAGGATTTGTGGGCAGATACTTGGAGTCAGAACATGACTCCAGATGGCTCCAAATGGCTCCAGATGGTTCCATGTCTTCCTGTCTTTCGGAACATGTCTTACCCTCTCCATCATCCGTGGAGAAGCTGCAAAACCTTGGGAACACCCGAACCCTACACCAGTTCACAGGTGGAGTTCGTTTGCTCCACAGACACGGTGAGACCGGGAGTCGAGAGGGACAGGCGACACGTCGCTCACCACCAGGAAGGTCGTTTCCACCCCACCAAAAGGTCGGACGCATCGTGAGCATCGTGAGCTGGACTGGACTGTTGGGCTGGTTTTTGTTGCAGGTTTTTGGACTGGACGAGTCTTGCAACTTACACGCATCAACGGCTAATGATACCCACAAAGTTCAAGTCTTTCAACCACTTTCAACCAACTGATGCGTGCGCACGCGAGCGCGGAGCGAAGTTTCTCCACAGCCAGGACGGAGGGAGTTTGAGCGAGCGCCGTTCGCTCCTGTGGTGGTCGGTTCTTCACGCGATGTTGAATCAGCTGAGCAAAGAATGGGTCAGCCGTGGGGAAGACTGAGGAAAGAAAAACAAGAGACCAGGAATATCCAGGAGTTGGAGGCCATTGCTACCTCAAAGATTGTAACCCCACACAGAAAGCACGGTTCAAAACATGCAACAATGCTGGTTGGAAATTCTTACGAAGACTAGCCTAGTTTGCTCACGTTTGAGGTCCACGTACAGATTCAGCCGAGTTTATTGCACCGAGTTTGTCAATATGAGCAGCGGTAGGGGTTGATCGAGGATCAACAAAAAGGAAGTAGTTGCAAAAACAATACAGGGTGTTGTGTCGAAAGAAACGGAAGCAACTATATGTTTGACCATTGTGTGGCAGATTTCGGCCTTCATGTTGCATTGTCTTGTTGTCTTCAACCGCACATACTGTCAAAGCGTGAAGCATCATGAAACCACAGAGGAAGATAATCCCCTAGAAGTACCTCCAATCGTTGCATGAAGTACCACGCGGCGACTGGGTTGATGTACAGACTATGACTTAGAGAACAAGACTGCGTGGAGAAAGATGTGGGCAATGGATGGGGCATGTCAGTGACCATCAAGCAATCAAGCAAGTTGTGTTGCATTGAGAGAAGCTGGGACATCGAAATGATTCTTTTCGTTGGATCCTACCGTGGAATTTGTACTGTGCACCTCCAATCTCCATGTTCACCCTTCATGTGTTTTTTTTGTAGAATTGGCCATGAATCAAGGGTTATTGGAGGGTTTGCTGGGCTTTTCCACGCTGGGCGCTGAAACGCGTTTGAGTGATCCTTCGCGGAGTTCAGGCCGAGGTTGGGAGGACACGCACACCCCGAGCAGAATCGAGCATGGGATGTGGGTCACATGCACTGAAAAACGGTGGGAAAGCAAACACGGTGATGAAGGCGAAGGATTGGATAAGGATTGGTATAGATTTGTGTATGTTCAGAAAGCTTGCTGCGCGCTTTGTGGCTCAGAATGGCTCAGACATCCTGAGAAAACGACAATAGTGAATGGATTTGGGCTGGAGTTCTAGCCTCCATGAGTTCCTAGATATTGTATGATATGTTCAATGTTCCTGTTGCTCACACTTCATTCAACAAGTATAGTTGATGTCAGCCTTGGAAAGGGACCCCCATCGCTTACTGTATTGCTCGCTGACAAGTCTTCAGCAAACCAGTCTCCATGTTTCTTCGTTGGTGCCCCTCAAAGGAAGATGTATTCACTGGAAGAAGATCACATTCTTCTCTATGCGCAGCTTCCACGTCCCTATCCTTCCCCAACTCATGCGCATCTTCACAGGTGTCCCACCCCCAACCCGGTCCTCCGAGCTGCTCTTGACTTGGCGGTTTCCACGCGTTTGCCATGACGGAGAGCACGCTCGCCGAGGGTCGGGCGGCCGTGGGGAGTCTCGGAGCGTGGCGCGCGGACGTACGGGTAAGGGTTCCGTCAAAGATGCGGGACATGCAGGGATCATCCAAAGTATGTGAGCGAGATACATTGACATATTGTCATCATGTTATCAGGGCTTCTTTGGATACTTAACATCCAATGTCAGCAAATGAACCGGACAACCTTTGTTGGTAGATTTATCATCTGTGAGTTGGACTGCGACCAACATGTCTTGAGCTGGGATGTTTACCAAAGAAGGCTTCTTGGTACCCGCAGGGGTAGAGTCAACCTACCAAGAGTTGCGAATCCCAATGTGTAGCTAACTGTCATGGTATTTCAGCCAGACCCTTAGCATTGTTTTGCACGAAGCAACATACGAAAAAAAAATCACATAAGACAAACCATGACTACCAAAGAAAAACTTCAAGAGGCTGATTCGCTACCCAGGCAAATCCCGCGCCCTGGCCCTGTTTGCAGGCGATGGCCCTAACCAATGTGGCGGGGCAGTGTTCACCCTTCCTACAGCTGGCCATCGAGGCCGCATACGGCCGCATTCCAAGACAAGACGGCCCCAGGGAGGACGCACGTGTCCCTATAGGGATGCCGTTGTCATACCTTCTCAGGTTCGGTACGACTGGATCGCGCCTGGATTTCAAGCCCGAAGGGATGACCGCAGAGTCCGTTCTTCCAACCACCATGCATTGAAAGGTGCCTTTTTCCCGAAGAACTCTTTTTGTTGAAAGGAAATTTACACTACAACACCAGGTCAACCCATTTGTCTAGTCTTGGAAGTCACAGGGGAGGGATGGTTCCTGCATGGGATGGTGCAGAGATCTTGCAGATGCCCGTGTTGTTGCGAGAACCAGATCCACCTCACATCCCGACACCATCCGACACCCGGGGTGTTTTCGCTGAAAGCTCTGTCGAAAGCTTCTGGAAAGAATCTGTCTGTGCCGTCGCTACATCTCGTTGCAGATCCCTTGGTGGACATGTATACGGATCGGCTTCCCACGATTCGCACGGCGCATGCGCCTAGAAAACAAAAAGCATTGGTGCATGTTGGGAGTCGCCACGTGAGGCAGGGAAATTCCCTTTGAGCTCCGTCTACCAGTATGGCAGTGATGATGTGCCCGGGCTTGAGGTGGGTGAGGTGAAAAGACCCATGTATTGTATAGTATAGGCCAACAAGACGTTCACCATTTGAGAATGGACCCGTGAAGATGTTTGCCCTTAAAGCATCTTGAGTTCAGCTGCATGCTTCGTTGCAGAGCTCATTCGTTTCCACGGGCTTCCAAAATGACTTCATGCACGTTTCTCCGTTTTCGGAGGATGTTTTTGTATGTCTTTGTGGGAGATCAACTCCGTTGTAGGAGAAGCCAGGAAGTTCGCTAGTTCACCAATGTTCACCATACATTTGACGCACCAAAGTTTAACTCACTATACCTTTCACAGAGGCCATGTAATGATCGAAGCCAGCATGAGTAGGTTGGAGGCCATTGCTAGTAGGTTTGAGGCCATCACTAGTAGGGTGGAGGCCATCGCTAGTAGATTGGAGGCCAATGCTAGTAGGTTGGAGGCCAATGCTAGTAGGTTGGA